GCGAGTTTACAAAAATCAAGTATAAGCTTAAGTCTGGGCTGTATATATACAACTTAGATTAGAGGATAATCCTTTCCATAGGATTTGCTAACCCATCTTATACAGGCCATCGGGTTGAAGGGGTTAAAAAGGAACACCTAACGGAGGATGAGATTTCAATAGCTATGGCGCCTGGCGTACTTGACACCCTCACTGTTATCGATCCTGACCTCGTTGGCCCAAACGGCATTGCATGGGTCAAACAAGAGATTAAACGGAAGTGTTGCGAAAAAGGATGCGTGTACTCCTCGAAGGAATGGCGTAATTTCTGGAAATACTTCCGTAAACCTGGCTAGAGCGCTATTTCATCACTGAGTGGAATGTATTTGGCATCACTAACTCCGTGGTAGCACGTACCAATAACCCCTTAGAGAGGTTTAACCGCGAAATGAATGCGGCGTTCAAGCCCCACCCCCATCTGCGCTAGTTTGTTTCGACGATAGGGCGAATGTCAAGTGCGTACGCAAAAAGCAGGCCAACATCACACAAGGACTTCGCCGAAAGAAACAGCGTCCACCTCGTATTTCACTTCCACCGGTACCAGACTTAATGAACTTTGAAGTGCCACCTGAGTCGGACAACGACGATGCCAACCTTGACTAGTCTGACGAGTCCCTTGAGTCACTATGTAGTGATATGGAGGGCAACTTAAGTCTGCGAGGGGATTCATCGTCGGACGAAGAGCCTACGGTCAATGCTGCTGCAGCTGCAGCTGCGGAAGGTTCGGAACAGGAGATCGTAGAGGCCGCCAATCATTACGGCTTCAGCCTGGACTGGGATGGAGATCAAAAGTCCGACGAGGAGAGCAGTTCAGAAGAGGATTAATGGTGCGTTACCACAAGCAGCAACGCTGGGTTTAACTGCATAACTGCACACATAGGATTGGATCAGTAGTACATTTGGTATAATACACATAAATAAATACACATACTCATCTTATGATCGGATGTTTGCACTGACAAGATGATTTGGCCAGAAAAATCATCCGGGCATAAGGTCCTGTCAGGGCGTAATACGGACTGTAAAAAAATCTACGGTTTATTCATTGTTGAGTCCACACCTGAGGCCAGTAGCGATGTTGCACCACCACTTCGAAGAGAATGACATGAAATCGAGCTGGGTCTTCACCAGTCGCAGCCGCTGAGCACTTAATAACTTTGGCGAGATCGTCTGCGCTTATCACCTTCCTCTTACTTGTTGAACATATCGCATCTGTCAAGTTAAGGTTTAATCTTTGCGCGTTCCCCAGAAGTATCTTCGCAGCAACAACCGGACAGATGCAATTGTGGCCAGATTGATTGAGAATCCTCGTTGTGCCTTGGCCGTATTGATCCTTTTTACTTCTTCTCAGCGTGATTTTCACCGCAGTAGACTCTGTTGCGCGTCGCGCCACCGCACCCATGTTATCTAAAACTTGCACATCTCTTACTTGGAGCGCGTAGCTACGTCGTCCTCCCCTTACTGACAGCAACTCGGAGGCTCTTGAGCTGAAATAAATAGCCCAGCACCGTAGCCCCAAGAAAGAGGCGGTGCTTGGGGTTGGTGAAGTCGATGTGTTGACTGATCCACTCGAGCATTCTTGGCGTAACAGGCGATCTTGGGAGCGGGCTCGTCGAATTCCTTTTAATGCTGCTGCGTGGGTTTCATTGACGTGCGGTGTAAATCCAGCAAACACTCGGTGGAACCACTTGATATGGCTGATTTGGCCTTGGATATATCTCGCTGATTTGGGTTTGGTGTCTCCGTCGGCGTTCCATGCGTCGACAGCAAAGAGAGCCAACCGAAGAGACTGTATATGGGGGAAATCTCGTGGTAATTACGGCGCCATCCGATTCGTGCGCTGAACTTGCACCACTGATTCAAGGTAATCTTGTATTGACGCCGCGAGGTTTCTACGAGGGAGTTGACTTGAAGGGTGACCAATTGCCGCTCTAGACTTTCCTGATGTGTGTAGGAACGTAGACCTGCTTCCAAGACGCCGTTAGTCGCCTCCACTTTGTTAACAAAGCACTATTATCCCATGCCCGAGATCCCAGATCTGCTAGAAAGTTGCTTGAGCCTGCAATATGCTGACAGTCAAACACCGCAAATTGTTTCTGCTGCACCAATTACCCGGTTCAACTCTTGCGCGTAAGGGTTCTCACTCTGTAGTTTGTTACACCAAGTAACCGCCGCCTTTTTGTCAATCCACATCGTACGTGAGTTGGTATACGGTCACCGGCGGTAGTCCATTGTGAGCCCCAAAGTAGTATCACGAGCGTGGCACTTCGCTGTTCACGGACATTTATTCTCAGCTGGCCTTGGCGTACCATCCTGTCTCGTCGTCGTCAAATCGAACCCGAATATACTCGTCTGCCGCAGGATATATAGCACACAGGCCTTCGTTGCTAGTATCGATGGAAAATTTCCACTGCTGGATCGAGAAGCGATGCGAAAAACATAGCGGAATGCTTCTTAGACGACCATAGTATGTTATCACTTCGAACCATGCAAGAACAAGCTTGACCTCGTCCGGTATCGTCATTTTACTGCACCCGTTTCCACAGCATGATTAGTCGTTGAAAGAATGGCTTTCCGGGGCGAACACAGATGCACACGTGGCGCAGACTTCCCAGAAGCTTGGCCAACTCCGTTTTGGTCGTGCGCTGGGCGGACCGCATGGCTTGGATTCGGAGACGCGCCTTCTCGATCTTTACTTCAGGCATCGATACATTGGGAAATTCGGTGTCCCACTCCAGTCCTACATCAACAAGGTTCGTGCTCCATGAAGTGAACTTCTTCTCGTTGATGGACCTAGGACCAAGAGTTGCCATCATTGCCAACCGCAGTACTGCGGCACATGCTTCGAGACGCCCAGGTTTATCTGGCTCCACCAAGACATAGTCGTCGACCCAGTCGTAGCAAAAGAAAGTGTCATCGTCACGATTGGACGGATTCAATGTACTT